CCAGACAAAAGGTGCCACCACAGAAAGGTCTTGCTGCCCAAGAAGTGCCCAGGCTGCCCCACCAATTACACCTGAAGCCAAAGCTTCCAGTTTTTTTTTCCTTAGGGAAAGAGCTGCTGTTCTCTTTTTCAGCCCTGCTCTGCAATGACTGGTCCCACCTCCTGGAAAATGGAATTTAAATGAAGATTCCTGCCAGACAAAAGGTGCCACCACAGAAAGTTCTTCCTGGCCAAGAAGTGCACAGGATGGCCCAATAACTGCACCTGAAGCCAAAGCTTCCAGCCTTTTTTTCCTGGTGGAAAGAGCTGCTGTTCCCTTTTTTCACCCCTGCGCTGCAATGGCCTGTCCCACTCTGAAAAACTGAATCCAAATGACGATTCATGCCAGCCAACCGTGCTCACCACCGAAAGCGTTCTTGCTGCCCAAGAATTTCCCCGGCTGCAAACCCAATCCACACCTGACAGCAAGTTTCCGCTTTTTTCCTGGTGGAAAAAGTGGAAAGAGCTGCTGTTCCCTTTTTTCAGGCCTGTGATTCAATGGCCTGTCCCACCTTTTGAAGAATTAAATCCAACAGAAGATTCCTGCCAGACAAAAGGTGCCACCACAGAAAATTCTTCCTTCCCAAGAAGTTCCCAGGCTGCCCCAACAACTGTACCTGAAGCCAGAGGATCCAGACTTTTTTCCTTAGGGAAAGAGCTGCTGTTCCATTTTTCAGCCCTGCGCTGCAATGGCCGGTCCCACCTCCTGAAAACTTGAATCCAAATAAAGATTCCTGTCAGACAAAAGGTGCCACCACAGAAAACTCTTCCTGTCCAAGAAGCGTTTAGGCTGCCCCAACAACTGCACCTCAAAGCCAAAGCTTCCAGCCTTTTTTTCCTGGTGGAAAGAGCTGCTGTTCCCTTTTTTCAGCCCTGCGCTGCAATGACCGGTCCCACCTCCTGAAAAATTCAATGCAAATGAAGATTCCTGCCAGACAAAAGGTGCCACCACAGAAAGCTCTTGCTACCCCAGAAGTGCCCAGGCTGCCCCAACAACTGCACCTCAAAGCCAAAGCTTCCAGCCTTTTTTTCCTGGTGGAAAGAGCTGCTATTCCCTTTTTCAGCCCTGCGCTGCTGTTGCACAGCAATTTAAATTAGTAGTAGAATGGCTAAGGCTTAGTAGAAGAGTAGGCCTAGAAAGCAACTTTGTTTGTGTGTGAAGTGGAAACCATAATCAAAAGATCTAGTCAGGCATGTATGCAACGATTTGTTACCTAGGATGAGGTTAAGGTCTGTTAAACAGTTTCTAGGGATAAGACAACTTAAGCAGATTTATGATTGGAGTAGATGATTATTAATTGTTATCAGTATGAAGTATGAGCTTGTTTGCAACTGCACCTGGTTTGCTGTGGAAACTGTAACTGTTTTGCCGTGGAAACTGCACGTAAACTTGTTTCTGTATAAAAGCTGAACTGAAAATGAGGGTCTTCGGAATCCTGACTTTGGACGCTAGTCCTCAGGTTCCCGGGGCCCCGAATAAAGCACCGCATAAACCGGCACTCTGTTGGTTTGTGTTTCTTTTAGTTACGGGCAACAGTTTTCTGGCGACCCAGACTGGGGACTCCGGGGGTAGCTGGGGCGGCTCACGAGCTGATCTACTCCACGCCGGCAACCAGGTGATTTCTGGGGAGACATCGACCCGTGCCCGACCCCGCACCTGCCGGACAACCCATCCAGGTAAGCCCGGAGGTGCTTTATTCTTTTAGGTTTGTTGGTTGGGAGCCTGCCTATAAGACGGGACCGTGAGTTACCCGCTGGGTTGGGCTAAAGGTACCTTGGTTGGGAAGCCTAGGCGCTGGTCGTAAGACGTAGCGAAAGCCGCGCTGTACCAGCACTCGCCACTCAGAGGGAGAATCGGCGAGTTGGTTTTGGTTTTGGTATTGGAATATGTACTTGGTTTATGTTGTTGTGTTGTCGTGCTGGTCGTTAAACGTATTGTTTTGTATGATTGTGGTATTGTGAATTTGAGGAATTCACATTGTGGTGTATTGTGAATTTGAGGAATTCACATTACGGTGTATGTGTGAGCCGGTATGATGCCGTTTAAAACTTTTAGAGCATTATCTTGTGCAGAAAAAGATATCCCTAGCGATTCTCCGCTTGGTTGCTTGTTAAAACATTGGAAGGAGGGAAATTTTGGACAAGAGTTAAACAAGAAACAATTGATTGATTACTGTAATAATGTATGGCCTCAATATGAGACAGAAGGAATGCAGTGGCCTAGAAATGGTTCATTGACTTTGGAAATTATAACCCCTTTGATGCGATATTTACGAGAGAATGAGAAGTGGGATGAAATACCGTATCTAGACTTGTTTTATTATTTAAAACGTAAGACTGAATGGCAAAAAGAATGTGGTATGTTGATTTTGAAAGAATTAGATGATAAATGTAAAGAATGTCAAGAGCGGAGTATAATGATATTGAAAGGATTGGATGATAAATATGAGCGGAAATTACGGTTTTCAGAACCAGAGGAGGATGTGTCTTTGTTAGTCTCCCCCAGCATAACTCCAAGTGCGCCCCCGAGAGATAGTCTCCCTTCACGTGTGAGGGCACAGTCACCCACCATGCCCCCGCTAGAATCGTCCTCGGATGAGGAAGAAAAGAGAAAGGGAGAATGTGATTTTGATAGAACTCCTTTAGCTGAACGAACGCGGAGAGCACGAAGAGAACGAGGGAGGAGTAGAGAAAGATGGCGGGGGGGGGGAAAGTTGAGGGAAGTTTCGCTTTCACCCCCGAGATTAATGGTCCCTTCGCGGGAAGCAGTTGGAGCGGACGGGGGAAAAGTCATGATGAAAGTTTCTTTTTTTACCTAATGATATATTAATTTGGAAACAGTCAGCTGGGTCATACAGAGAAAATCCGGAGCAGGTGACTTGTATTATAAAAATGGTTAGAAAAACTCAAAATCTAGACTGGAATGATTTACAGGTATTGTTAGATACAATTCTAGATTCAACTGAAAAAGAAATGGTATTAAGAGTGATGGTGGAAAGAGCGAAAGAAAGAATGCGAACTCTGTCCCGGGCGGCGGGGGGAGCAGTGGATGATTTTGTGCCGCGGGAGGATCCCGGGTGAGATCCAAATGTGTCTGGAGATTGTAGAAAGTTGAGAATTTACCGAGAATTGTTGGTGGAGGGAGTGCAAAGTGAGATACCAGGGACGCTGGACTGGTCAGGGCTGTGCTCGGTGGGACGGAATAGGGGAGAATCTCTTTCAGCCTTTTTAGAGAAGTTAAAAGAGGAACCTCTGAATGAAGTTAAAAGTAGTAAAAAAAAAAAAGAGGAACCTCAGAGAGAGATTACAAATAGCCCTCTGATAAGAAGATTAGTAAAAGGTGACTTTGAGGCTAGGACGCTGAGGATTCCCCCTGAAAGTCCCTTGGGAACCTCTTAGAGAACCGGAGTTGTTATTCCAGCACTTATAGAAGATCAAAGGAGAAAATGATTAAGTATTGTATTGAAGTGTGGGGAGGTAGAAGAATAGGAAATAATACTTACTGGCCCATATATGGTACTTTTAAGAATTGGGTCTGTGAACTTTTAATTTGGTATGTTAGCAATAAAAACCCTTTTGCCCAGAGGAGAGTTTTTATGCCGATATATGGTTAGAAGCCAGTGAAGATATTTACTTGTTTTCTTTAAGAGAAAGAAGGAGCACAACCCGTTAGAGTGCGACAATACCCAATTAGTTTAGAAGCCAGGAAAGGAATAGCTCCTATGATCACACAGTTTTTAATTTTAGGGATATTAAAAGAATGTGAGTCAGAGTTTAATACTCCCATTTTTCCGATAAAAAGCAAAATGGTAAGTATAGGTTAGTGCAAGACTTTAGAGCAGTAAACCTCATCACAAAAGATATCCACCCGGTTGTAGCTAACCCTTACACCTTGTTAACATCTGTTTCTGAGAGATTTCAGTGGTTTACAGTGATTGATCTAAAGGATGCCTTCTTCTGCATACCACTGGCACGGGAAAGTTGGAAAATCTTTGCCTTTGAATGGGAGAACCCAGAGACTGGACGGAAGTGACAGCTTACTTGGACTCGATTACCACAAGGATTCAAATGCTCACCCACGATATTTGGTAATCAGTTAGCAAAGGAACTTGAAGAATGGAAGACTACTCAGGTAAAAGAATCTCCTTTTTCATATATAATACTTCAATATGTTGATGACATCTTTTTGAGAAATACAGAGCAGGGACTCTGTCGTCAATTAACCATTGAACTGTTAAACATGCTGGGACAAGCAGGCTACCGAGTCTCAAAAGAAAAAGCACAACTAGTAAAACAGAAAGTTATTTATCTAGGATGTGAAATCTCCCAAGGAACCCGACGCTTAGGAACAAATAGGGTTCAAGCAATATGTGCTATTCCTGTGCCCCGAAATAATCAGGAACTGAGATCTTTTTTAGGAATGGTCGGATGGTGCAGACTGTGGATTCCCAACTTTGGACTAATTGCCAGACCCTTATATGAAGCAGCAAAGGAGCCCAAGCTGACCTGGGGGACGAAGCAAGAGAAAGCGTTCCAGGAATTGAAGAGAGCCCTCCAGGAAGCACCTGCCCTGGGACTGCCGGACCCAACCAAGGAGTTTCAGCTCTATGTCTGCGAGAGACAACGAATGGCTTTAGGAGTCCTCACTCAGCGTCTAGGATCCTGGAAAAGACCGGTTGGATATTTCTCCAAACGGCTAGACGCAGTAAGTGGGGGATGGCCAGGGTGTCTCAGAGCTGTGGCAGCAACGGTTATTTTAATACAAGAAGCACGAAAATTGACTCTGGGAAAACACATGGTAGTGTACGTACCCCACATGGTCATAGCAGTCTTGGAACAAAAAGGGGGGCATTGGCTCTCATCTAGCCGTATGTTACAGTATCAAGCTTTGTTGAGAGAACAAGATGATGTTGAACTGAAAATCACTAACCATCTCAACCCAGCAGAATTCCTTAGGTCTACACAGGAAGAAGGTATTCTGGAGCATGACTGTGTAGAGACCATTGAACAAGTCTACGCGAGCAGAAGAGACTTGAAGGACGAGCCATTGACAGATCCTGACTGGGAATTGTTCACTGATGGATCTAGCTTTGTGGAGAACGGTACCAGGTATGCTGGGTATGCAGTGGTCACTGAACAAGAAGTGATAGAAGCAAATGCACTACCCCCAGGTACGTCTGCACAAAAGGCCGAAATATGGGCATTGGTGAGAGCTTTAATATTAAGCCAAGGAAAGAGAGTTAACATATGGACTGACTCCAAATATGCTTTTGGGGTAGTTCATGTTCACGGAGCACTCTGGAAAGAGAGAGGACTTCTTACTTCTCAAGGGACAATGATTAAACATCGGGAAGAAATTTTACAATTGCTAGAGGCAATACACAAGCCCTCAGCAGTGGCAATAATGCATGTAAAAGGACATCAGAGAGATCCCGGACGAGAATTTCGAGGTAATCGACAGGCGGACCAAGCGGCTAAGCAGGCCGCAAGAGAAGTATGGACTCAGATGGTTCTTTTGCCTGTTCGAAATAATCCAGCAATACCATATATGGAAGAAAAACCACATTATTCACAGGAAGATGAGAAATTAGCTCAAATGACAAATGCAAAGAAAAATGTTAAAGGGTGGTACATTTCCCCCATAGGACAAGTGATTCCACCTGTCAGAATAATGAAAGCAGTGCTTGAAGCAGAACACAATAAGTGCCACTGGGGTGCAGAAGCATTGGTAAAATTTTTGAAAAATGAGGTTCTCTCAAACCAGATGTTAACATTGGCAAAAAGGGTAAATGCAATGTGTCCTATGTGCATAAAGAATAACCCAGTAGTCAGGAAGCAGGTGCAGATGGGAAAATTACAGATAGGTCAGTTACCGGGAGATTACTGGCAAGTAGATTTTTCTGAGTTGCCTAAAGCCCAATCCTATAAGTATTTGTTAGTATATGTCTGCACCTTTTCAGGATGGCCTGAGGCTTTTCCCTGTAGGACTAATCAAGCAAAGGAAGTGGTAAAAACTCTCTTGAGGGAAATCATCCCAAGATTTGGAGTTCCCCTAGGGTTGTCCTCTGATCGAGGACCGCACTTTATAGCAGGAATAGTACAAGATGGGTCAGTTGTATTAGGGATAACATGGAATCTCCATACACCATGGAGACCACAGTCTAGTGGACAAGTTGAAAGGATGAATCAGACATTGAAAGGTCAATTGAAGAAAATTTGTCAGGAGGCAAAGATTCCGTGGCCCCAAGCAGTATCCATTGCCTTGTTGAGAATTAGGATCAAACCAAGGGAGAGAATAGGAGTAAGTCCATATGAAATATTATATGGCAAACCTTATCATGCAGCTACTTACCAAGGGGATCCTCATATAGTAGGTGATCAAGCAGTGTTTAATTATGTGTTATCTTTAAATAAGACTCTCACAGCCCTCAGAGGAGCATTGCAGTGGAATCGACCTCTGCCCCTGGAGAATCCAGTGCACGACATTTCTCCGGGAGATCATGTCTACGTGAGAAACTGGTCGGTGGAGCCGCTGAAAGAAACATGGGACGGTCCTCACCAGGTGATAATGACGACCTACACCGCAGTAAAAGTCGAAGGAATCGACAGCTGGATCCATTATACTCGGGTCAAGAAAGTTCCAGTTTCGTGGTCGGTAGAACCTCTCTCACCCACAAGAATGGTATTTCGAGCCAACCATTGAGGATCATAGTGTTCCTGGGGTTGATAAGTTTAGCAGAAACCACCGTGAGAATTGAGACCCCAGATCCTTATTTATTTGTACCAGAACACACTGATGTAAACTTAACTTGTCTATTTTCAGATGACCAGGGAGCTGAATTAAGAGATATCCATGTCAAGTGGAGATGGAGAGATCAAGACCAAATTATGACAGAAGGAGTGACAACAGTTTGGGATGCTACACAACAAAAAGGTTACACCGTTCTGCAGGTACCCAAAGTGTACAAAGCTATGGAAGGGACATATATGTGTGTAGTTTGGATTTGGGAAAGTTTTGATTATGGACATATAGAAATACAGACAATAAACACGACTCAGAAGACGGTGACCAAAGTGCGAGTTTTACCCACTAGGAAACAATCAGACATGTGGGATGGTCCTCCTTTAAAAATCAATTGTACCTTCCAATTTGATGATTGTCGAAAATCAGTTAAAGTAAAGTGGTGGAAATTAAATGTGGCAAATCAATCTTGGGAATCACAAAGTCAAGGAGTTAGCTGGTGGTCAAATAGTAAAGGAGGTAAAGGGTGGCTGAATATTTCTAATCCCAGAGTAGGAAAGACAGAAGGTACATTTCTTTGTGTAGTCTCATGTGGAAAAGAAAAAGATCACGGGATAAGGACAGCAGTAGCCGTATCACATCAAGGAATAAGAGTTAGACCAGAACATAGTGTTTATTCGACCCAGGAAGGAAGAGATCTGATTCTAAGTTGCAAAATTCCAGAAGGACAGTATTCTGAATATGGGTGGTGGTTTAAGGGACAGAACTTGAAAGTTGGGAAGAGACATCAGATTGGAAAGAGAGCAGACGCAATAGTTTTGAAAATCAAAGAAATACAAAGAGGAGAAGATGAAGGCCAATATACTTGCTAGATAAGTAAAGATGACTGGTGAGATACTGGAATTACTGTCGTCCACGTAAGGATTGAAAGAATAACCCGACAAGTAAGTAACCTGCAGATTCTAGATAGAGAAGTAGAACAAGAAAACCTAGTTGTAGGCCTAATTCGTGATTTTGGGAGAGTACAGAATGTCACAAAAATTACTGCATGTCTCCCTATGCCTCATGCTGCAGGAGACCCAATCCCATGGGGAATAATTCCAGTACCAGAAATTCCTAAAGTGTTTAAGAATACTACATAGAATTGCAGATTTGTAACCAAAACATGGAATGAAATGATAGATGCATGTCTACTCAAGAACGAGATGACTAAGAAACAATGTGAACAAGTGCCTGGATTTTTCCTATGGGTAGTAGTTGGAACATGGGTAACAAGCAAAAACATTGATTGCCGTACCACCACAGTTAAGAGCCCAGGAAATTTAGTGTGGGTCGTGGGACATGGTCAGTGGACCACCCACATGCCAATAGATGGTCCAGTTGTACCTGTCACACTAGGGATACCTACTCTCTGTCCATTCTGGAAGCAAGATAAGTTAACATCAGTAGAAATACAACCACGAAGGAAAAGAGAAGTTGGTAAAGATATTGATGACCTGGGGTTGGGAGATTGGCATGAACCATCAGCAGGAGTTAAATTTGGATGAGCATTAGAGTCTCTATTTGCACCAATCTCAACATACCGGAACAGAGAAATGTTGTTTAAATTAATGGGACAAACTGAAAGGTTAGCAGCAGTCACTAAGAAGGGATTTAAAGATCTAAATTTACAATTACAAGCCACCTCTAGAATGACCATACAAAACCGCATGGCATTAGACCTAATATTACTTAAGGAACATGGAGTTTGCGGCTACCTGCATGCAAAGGACGAGCATTGTTGTGTACACATCCCAAATGTCACTCAAGAAGTAGAAAAAGATATTAGTCAATTAGAACAAATTGACGAGAATGTTCATGAACTGCAAAAAGAAGCAGAACATAATTGGATAAGACAATTATTCAGCTCCCTAGGTCTTCATGTGTCAGGATAGATATCTTCTGTTATCCAGTACGGAATATTAATTGTAATAATTATTGTCATAGCCATAACTGTTTACAAGTGTCTTTTAGGAATGATTGTAAAAGAAGGTCAACATACGAGACGCATCATGAAAGCTATAACAAGAAAAGAAATAATCTCACCGCAAAATGAATCACCTCCTACCTACCAAGAAACTACAGCCTGAAGATTGCTGTATTTGAGCATCCTTGCAAGCAAAGCCTGAAGAATGCTCAAAAGGGGGGACATGTTGCACAGCAATTTAAATTAGTAGTAGAATGGCTAAGGCTTAGTAGAAGAGTAGGCCTAGAAAGCAACTTTGTTTGTGTGTGAAGTGGAAACCATAATCAAAGGATCTAGTCAGGCATGTATGCAACGATTTGTTACCTAGGATGTGGTTAAGGTCTGTTAAACAGTTTCTAGGGGTAAGACAACTTAAGCAGATTTATGATTAGAGTAGATGATTATTAATTGTTATCAGTATGGAGCATGAGCTTGTTTGTAACTGCACCTGGTTTGCTGTGGAAACTGTAACTGGTTTGCCGTGGAAACTGCACGTAAACTTGTTTGTGTATAAAAGCTGAACTGAAAATGAGGGTCTTCGGAATCCTGACTTTGGACGCTAGTCCTCAGGTTCCCGGGGCCCCGAATAAAGCACCGCATAAACCGGTACTCTGTTGGTTTGTGTTTCTTCTGGTTACGGGCAACACTAGAATCTTGATAGTTATTTATAGACAAGAGGCAGAGCCTGGGAACACCTCCTTGGCAAAAATACTCCACCAACCCCACCCCTCAGTCTTTTAAACAAGGTCACAGACAGGCAATACCAGTCTGAGTATGCATCTTCTGGTGAGGGAGAGCCTATCTTCTTGTCCAGGAAAAAATACCCACTCCACAAAATTGCCATCACTGTCCACTGTTAATCAGCAGAAGATCAAGTAATACCAGAAATAAACCACTGTAGATCTGATGAGTGTTTCTATGCAGAACGTATGTATATTCGTTCTTTATGGTTCTTGATTCTGAAGAAGTACATTCATTAATGCAAATCACTGCTTTTTACTAAGTTTTGCAGTTCTTCTTACATTTCTAAGACAGTAGAAGCATATTTTTAATGAACCTATGTATCAGAGCAGAGAATATAACATAACACAACACAGGACAATCCAGTGCTAACTGATTAATTTCCTTCATGGGTTTTCATCCCCTGTGCTAATTAGAGCTCCTTCTTGCCTAATACATCCAAAGATAAACAATCCTCTAAGGTTTAAAAGTAAAAGGTAAACTACACTTCAGCCAGTCAGATGGGGAAAAAATCCTTAGACTGTCAAATCTCTGTGCTTTCAGATAAGTAGGAAATGTGGTTTCTGGTTCATCATTCCCGATTCCTTTCATTGCCACAGCTTAATGTAATGGATATGTGAACTTGACATTCAGCTGCCATGGTTTAGAGCTTGGCATAACAAAATAAATGGAAGTAGATGAGTGTAAGGGGGGTACTTTTGAATTAGATGATCAATGGAGCATAGAGGCATGAGAAAGGAATCATATTAGGATGTGAAACCAGCTAGAGTATGGTACAATGTAACTTCATGGCACAAGCGAATTGTAAGGTCCATTGTGCTTTTTAGCAAGTCAGCTTAATATCCCCTATTATCAGAGCTGAGTTCTTCCTTGGTTTTGCTACATATTGCAAGATAGATACATCTACCCTTGAAACACAATGGTAGAGGTCATACATAGGGGTGAGAAAGATGATGATGGGAGGAAGATTATGAGGGCAGGGGTCGCTGGCCCCTTGCCCTACAAGTAGGGCAGGCCCAGACTGTTGCCATCAGGCAATGATCGGGCGGTGTTTGGCTGCCATTCAGGCATCACCTTACACTGCGTCCTGGCCCTACGTAGTGTAACGTGGAGCTGATAAAAATGGGGTGTCGGGACTGCTGAGCTGAGCGATCCTCATCCTGCCACCGAGCCTGTGTTGCTCCGCGGGGACGCCCGCTAAGGGATGGGCACCGACCAGCTGCTGCAGATCCTGACAGCCCTGGCCTGTCTGTGTGGGTAAGCACAGTTTTTTGATAGGAAGCAACTGAGAGAACAAACTTTTTAATATCCTTTTAGTGTTCCTTTAATTCCCCTTTTTATTATTGAATATTGTTACATAAATAAGTTGTTCATAGTATTTCCCTTTAATTTCCCTTTTTACTAACCAATATCGTGTTAATAGTTATCCATAATATTGTGTTAAGATCCCTTTTTTGGTATCCCTTTAACCCCCTTTTCACTAGTTAATACTGTATTAAATGCTGTTCGTAGTATTTGTTTCAATGCCACCCGATAAGGTAGTTAGTTTGTAACCTTTTTTTTAGTTTTTAATTCCTCTTGCTAAGTTTATGACTATTATTATTATTCTTACTGTAATAAAAGATATTTTGTGTGTTTGAATATTTCTGGCACTTGTCTTTATTCCGGACATGTATCCAAACGAACTGTTACAATGAGGGCTTCGGTTCATGTGCTGGACTGTGAATGGCAGATGGTAAGGTGCATTCTCAGTGCCTGTTTTCTGCCTCTGTTACAGGGGTAGTTTCATGAACCAAGAGGTAAGGAAAGTAACCTTGTACTCAACCAACCATTTGCCATGGCCCCTAGTTTGGGAACTGAATACAGTAAGGTACAGTCTCCCTGACTCATAAATATAACTGAACAGAAAAAAATAGGGATTTTTTCCTTCAGTTGAATATTTCAAGTCTCCTCATGTGCTAACATCTCATGACTAATGACATAAATGACAAATCAAACATATGAAGTAATGACAACCTGATTTCCACCTTATGCAGCCAATGAACACTGGTTAACCTTGGATCCTTGGGCATGCTAAAACTTGCCTGCCAAGTCAAGGAAATCAAAGGTATTCAGATACAGTAGACATATCTTTACTACCTCTTTGCCAAAAGGGGATTATGACTGAAAAACTTCCGACCTTGTCAGCCTAGAAAATAGTTACAGAATCAAGAAC